TTCTTTATTTTTTTTTTTTTTTTTTTATTTTGGGATCGGGTCTTACTCAGGTAGCTGGGGATGGCCTGAGAGGAATTACAGCTACCTGCTCCTGTTCCTGGACCAGACACCAGACACTGCAGACACAACAGCGTTGGTCAGATACACTGGAATCCTGAAAGGCTGGCACCAACTGTAAGTAAAATCTTCAAATTCCTGTAATTCTGAAGGTCTTGGCTAAACTTTAGAAGCTTTCGTTTTTCTTTTAGCCACTAGATTTTTCAGGAAAAATTCACCTATTTGGGAAAAATAGAATACATTAATGTCATCTTGAAGCAAGCAGCAACAAGCTGCTACTTCAGAAACACCCGCCTCCCCACACACAAAGGATTGTATGTACTGGCTTGTCCTCCTCTCAAATCTCAAAGGCACTATTTTTATCACCTAAATACTCCATATCTTTTAAATTTTCCCCTACTGTTTTGATTTATTATATTTTTTGACATTATAATACTTTACCACACCTCCCCTTCCCTTTTCTCTCTCTATAACAGCACAGGGCTACTCAGGGACCAAAAAGAATTGCTCTCAACTGTTGTTCCTTGAAATACCCAAGTGTTATGCATGACGACCCCTGAGCCTGCGCGTCTGCTTCTGCACGTTCACCCCACTGTGAGTGCTAACTATTCCTCGTTCTACAAAGTGCTGCCGTCGGCACAAGGCATTTCAGAGAGCTGCCTGCCCTTCATTAGCCTGAACCTGATGTTTATAAAGCCGACCTCATGCAGCTGAGTGCTCGGGTGGGATCTGGTTGAATGTAATGGGTGCCTGTCCCCATCCGAGCCAAGCCTGAGCTACACATCCCTCTCAGCCCACGAGGCTCCATTTAGTTCAGCATGCGTCAGAGGAGCTCGGTGCTTGAGTTTATGAGGAGTTGGTCATCTCCCCTCTGCCACCATACAGGCACAATGAGAACGCCACCACCACCTCCAAACCCAATCACCAAGGATCCCGAGTCTCTTGTCTACACTGCTCAGTCCTTCAGCTAAATCTGGTAGACACAGAACTGACATCACCAGACTGGAATCTGGCGTGAAATCTGCTTTCAATGCTCAATACACCAGAATTCAATCTTTCAGTAGTGACTTTACAAATACTAAAGAGTCACAATTCACTTCCTTACAAATATTAGATTTCCCTTTAAGTACTACTTAATGCTGACCATGGTTGTTCACACCTTCAATCTCAGCACTTGGAGGCACAGGCAGGCCTGAGTTCCAAGTCAGCAAGGACTGTATAGTGAGACCTTGTCTCAAAAATTAAAAAGTAAATAAAAATAAGAAGCTGGGTGGTGGTGGTGTACACCTTTAATCCCAGCACTTTGGAGGCAGAGGCAGGTGGATCTGTGAGTTGGAGGCCAGCCTGGTCTACAGAGCTAGTTCCAGGACAACCAGGGCTACATAGAGAAACCCTGTCTCAAAAAAAAAAAAAAAAAAAAAAAAAAAAA